ATGATGTCCCAGATTACGATTTCATAAGAAAAAATAAAATAATTGCTTGCCAAGCCATATAAAAAGGACGAATTCTGGGAAAACTTAGAAACTAAACATTGATAGGCCTAGAGAGTCTAGCTCCTCTCAATAGCGTAAAACTTTTCCCTTTTTCCTGGCCATCCTGAATCTGATTTTCCATCATCGTGGTGACACGGTAGCATCAGTGGTCTGGTCTTCATTACCCAAACCAGGACTGCTAAGTTTAAAAAAAAAAAAAAAGTTGCCCTAAGGAAACAAAATGAACTCTTCTAGCTTGCAAATACTCAGTGGAGTCCCTGCTCAGAACCTGGGCAATTCCAACCTTAGCCTGTTTATTTGTCTTTTCGTTGTTTCATGTTTGTCTCATCACAGCAGTCAAATCATGTCCCAACTCCTTTAAGCTAGATTTCAAAACGAATGAGTTAGAAACAAAATGTTCCTTCCTACATAGAACGCTAGCAGCTTTGTCTTCATCTCCAGAAGGCTTAGAAATGAACAGCACTTTCAAAGTCAGAGAACAAACCTTCCTACTCATCCCTGTATTCAGCCCACTCCCACCCAACCTACAAGGTTGAGTCCAGGCCTTGACATCCATAAGTCTGCTATTGGTCCAGCCCACAGTAATGATCATCCTGAACTCTCCTGGCTGAGCCCATGTGGCTCAGAATTTACTATTCTCTCATTGTATAAGGTAAAGGAGGAACAAAGTGGGAGGTAGTGGGAGAAGCTGGAGAGAAGAGCCAGTAAATTATGCCAAGGACTGTATTTAGCACATTTCACGGCACTCTCGTTTAACCTTGTCACAGCCCTCAGGTAAGAATTATCCTTCACCTTTTTCCAGATGAGAAGACTGAGGCTCATGAGAGGCTAAGAAACTTGTCCACAGCTCAGAGTCAGGAAAACAGAAAGTCAGGATTTGAACCCAAGTTTCTGACGACACAGTCCCTGCTCTTTCCTCTACGTTATGGAATCAGTTTCAGTTCCTCTTCCACTTCACACCCAAGCACAGGTCATACAAGGAATGAGCCCAGGAAGATGAAGGATATGGAAACCATGGCATGTTTCAAGAATAAATGTATCAGGGATCTATGAGGTGTAAAGCAGAGCACTCAGAGCTTTGGAGAAGGGAAAGGAGAGCGTACATTATGGCAGGAGAAAGAGCTCATCACCCAGCATGGGGCGGGCATGTGGTAGAGATGCCCCTGCTAGAGCAAATGCCACATGGAGGTGTGATATCCAGAACAAAGAAGATAATTAAGCCTCTGCAGACTCTCTATTGATCAAACCACATCTGTAGTGCTGGCTGTAGTTCTAGTCACTGGGGAATGTGTGCTGTGGAATCCACAAGAGGAGCATAGGATATTCAGTCAGGAAAAGGGAACCCTTTAAGGAATCATGGTTAAATCACTGAATACTTAAAGGACTATCTTTTACGAACAAGATACTTGAAAAGTTACTGTGCAACTCTAGAAAACAAAGCCAAAACCAAAGAAGCAATGCTACAGGAAATCTCATTTCTGCTTTTGCAGTGTGGAAGAACTTTGACAGTTCAAACCATCCAAAAATGGTAGAAACCACCTCTGGACATTGGCAATTCCCATTGTTGATAGGTTCACACAGCCTGGAAGACCATTTATCAAGTATATGGTAGAGGAGATTTGTGGATGAGGCATTAAGGGCAGGCTAAAGACTTCCAAGATCTCATTCAACTCTGATTCTATGACTCTAACTGCATGTAACAGAGTTTTCTCTCATTGCAAGGAAATCTGTATTGGTTTCCTATTTGCCGTAACAAATTACCACAAACTTAGTGGCTTAAAACAATACAAATTTATTATCTCACCATTCTGTAGATTAGAAGTCTGACCCGGGTCTTATGGGGTGAAAATCAAGGTTTCAGCAGGACTGCCTTCCTTTCTGTAGACTCTAGGGAGAACCCATTTCCTTGCCTTTGTCAGCTTCTGGGCTCATGGCCTCCTTCCTCCAACTTCAGAGCTGCAAAGGCAGGCCAAGTGTCTCATATCACATCACTCCAACCTCCTAGTCTGCCTCTCCTCCATTCTTAAGGACCTTTGTGATCACATTGGTCCCAGCCAGATGATCCAGGATAGTGTCTCTATGTAAAGGTCTTGATTAGCAATTAGAATTCCATTTGTAACCTTAATTCCCCTTTTCTATGTAACATAACATATTCAGAGATCCCAGGGATTAGGACATGAATGACCTGGAGTCGGGGGAGGAAGAGGGCATTATTCTGACCATCCCAGTGACGTTCTGACAAATACCACCAGTACATCCCACAAGTTCAAGCTGGTGTGTGACTTTGCCTTCTCTAACGATCACAGGGGAGAGGATAAGGAATTGGCAAGAGGATATCAGGCCTCCAAGGGTTACCTGAGACTCGGTCTCTAACCCAAACCAACCAAATAAAATGGCAGAAAATATTTTCCTGTTGGGTAGATTTAACCTCTTGATATGCACTACTAAACGACCCAAGTGAACAGTAACCCCCAAACCTACCTTGGGACCTAAGGCTTAGATAACTAGACAAAGAAAATCACCTAAATGTTTTTAATTAAAATGCAGCTCTCCTCTCTTTCCTTTTGTCATCACCATATACTAGAAACTAGATGCTGCTTCCTTGTATACTTCCTCCCCCATAGCAGACACTATACTCCTTCACCCTTTGCCACACCTGTACCAGGCTTCAGAAGTCTTCTCCAGCCTGTGCCTCAGGGAGGCACTAGCAAAGATCAGAGTTGGCAAATGACAGAAAAACCTATCTGCCATCTCTTCGGGAAAGGCTCTCTGTTCCATGAGTTGGGGTTTAGTATTGTTGTTGTTACTGCTTTAGAAATGACTATGTACAAGGCAATGGACTAGAAATCTTGCGTTTAGAAACAAAATGTACAATTCATAATCTTAGCTGGCTATGGAATACAATATATAGCATTTATTCCTATTTTGCTTCTTATGAATAGAATTTCTGATCTCACTTCACACTTGCCTGTATTTACCTGGAGTTTTATCATTATACTACCTTAGAATCTCCATCACTTGAATCACAATGGAATTCCTGAATTGTTATTTCTTTTTCATAGGCATATTCATTGTGGAGTGTTTTTCTAAGAGTCCTTTTGGTCACCAGAAATGATCTATCAATCAGGACTCTTTCCATAGCAGTTGATAGGAAACTCTTTTGCAACTAGTTGAAGCAAAAAAAGGGGGATTTATTGGCTAACATCCTGAAAAATCCAGGGGTAAATCTGGCTTTGGCCCTTTCCAGAATCCTCAAATGATGCTGTTGGACTGTCTCACCCTCATCACCACCTCCCCTCTCTCTCCTGGTTGACTTTATTCTCCTGTATGCCTTGCAGGGACAAGATGGCTCCCAGCAGCTCTAGGCTTACCTCTCATCCTCCCAGCAACCCCAGTAGAAAAGAAAATGCTTCTTCTCTATATCTCCTTCCAAAAGTCCTGAACTGAATTTGATTTTAGTGGCTTATCATTGACCTAGCTCAAGTCGTGTGCTCACCTGTGAACCAATGATTATAACAAAAGAAATTCAAACCTCTGATTAGCCAGCCCTCAGCACCTGCCAACTCCTAGAGTAGGGATTGCATTCAGTGCCATGTGAACCACATGAAATAAAAGGAAGGAAGAAATGGATTCCCCAAGGAAAATTGGGATTCTGTTACCGGGAGGGAAAACAGATCCTGGGTAGGGAGGAAATATGAGGCAATCACTATACTTGGGTGACACTCAAGTCAGATTATTAGCTGTTTTCTGATTCAGTATTAGCTGAAAGCAGGACAGGGGAAATAATGTCATCATTTGAACAGAGGAGAGTGTTCAAAGTTTCAACTACAGTCCAAGGAAGTGGGACTTAGAGGGGACACCACAGCATAGGGGCCGTGGGCAATTTGCATGACATTTTAGGATGAAAGTCCAGAAGATACTCAACAGCCACTGATAGGGAAGCACTCACCAAATTCACAAGCTTCATTCATTTTGCCTAACCCTGAAATAACTTCTGAATTAAGAAAATAGAAAATAAAATAAGAAGACAAAAGGAGCTTGGGTGAGGCAACCTGGCTTTGAGCCCCACTTCTTACCAGTGGTATGGTCTTGAGCATGTCACTTAACCTCTGAAAGCCTCAGCTCTACCTTCTGTAAAATGGGATTGATAATAATTCCTACCTCACAGAGAATTAAATGTGATCATATGTGTAAGGATCATTTCTTAAGACGCTACAGCAAACCCTCCCATCCGCGTGGCTGTTGCAATGAGACTGCTGCTCCTTTCTTCTATTTACTATCCCTTCGAACCTGGGCTGGTCCTGGGAATTGCTCTGTCCAGTAGAATGAGACAGAGTGATGTGTGGCTTCCAAGCTTAACCTACGAGAGACCTTGTAGCATCCGTATTTGCACTTCTGGAAAATCTCTTGGAAGCCAGCCACCAGGCCATAAAGAAGCTCGGGCTAGACTACAGAATAAGGAGAAGTCACTTAAGAGAAAGACTCTGGAGAGTGGGAGGCCATGTTGAATGTTCCAAGCCCAGGTGAGCTCCCAGATGAATGCAGCTGCACAAATAGCCTCAAGCTGCACCACCTGGAGCAGAAGTACAGCCCAGCTGAGCCCAATCAACCCACAGACTCATGAGAAAAATACAGCATTGTTGTTTTAATTTACTAAGTTTTGCGGTAGCTTATAACACAGAATTGGTAACTGAGACAACATGTAGACAGAGTGTTTTTGTGGTTCTTGCTGTCTTTTCCTCAAGAGGAATGTAATTTGCACTTCAGGCAGAACAATGCCTCATTTGTGGGGCTGCCTCCTGTTTTGCAGGACATTCCGCATCACTGGTCCTTACCTGCTAAATCTCAGTTGTGCTCTCCAGTCACTGAGAGAATTAAAGACATCATCCCCCAGACCCAAACACCCCCTGCTATGAGTCAGATCCAAGAGGAGCACTTACTTCTGGGAGAGTGAGGACTTCAGAGGTTAGCCTCACTAAACACAAGGCAGGAACTGTATTCTTCCTGTGTGTCCTGATCCTCATTGAGTTGAAATGTCTTCCCTGGCATTTCATGCTGCCTTCAAAGAAACGGGCTGGGGCTTCCCTGGTGGCGCAGTGATTGAGAGTCCGCCTGCCGATGCAGGGGGCGCGGGTTCGTGCCCCGGTCCGGGAAGATCCCACATGCCGCGGAGCGGCTGGGCCCGTAAGCCATGGCCGCTGAGCCTGCGCGTCTGGAGCCTGTGCTCTGCAACGGGAGAGGCCACAACAGAGAAGGGACCGGCCACCGTACCGAAAAAAAAAAAAAAGAAAAGAAAAGAAAAGAAACGGGCTGCATTAGGCCATACCAAAAATGAGCTTACTATGCCTATAAAATTATATGATACTATTTGATGTAAATAATGCAACCAGATGTGATAAATCTGCATACTCTGCCTTTGAAGGGGCTCCAAAGAAAACTGTCATCTACAACCAAGCACAGTTAATATAGGAATCATCAGCATTCTTTCTCTAATTTGTCCTATTTATGTAGCACTTTGGGGATCTGGAGAAAATAAGTAAATGAACATTATTCTGGCTGTGTTATCATCCTTGTCTTTTTCTCTTGATGAATCTCTGTAATAGAAACTCCTAATTTGACAGATTGACAACACAGGTGGGGTACTGTAGAGATGAAACTTCTCTAAGATAAATATCACTTTCCAGGAGGCAGAAGAGTTCAGAAATGACCTCCTGAAAGAGAGTTGCCATTAGCCATGAATATCTGTTCTTTGTAAACACCAGGGTAGATCAAACATTTATCTGTTAATTTCACCACAGTTGGATTCTAGAGCTTGTATTTTCTTTGCCAGAGAGCTTCAACTTTCCCAGGGCAGCTTCAAAGACAAGGTTCCATTCAGTCTGAAGTGTCAATACTCCTGTCTTAATAAGATTTAAAATATTCCTTCTACCCCATCCTTTCACCCACACCGATTCCCCCTTTCATATTTCCACTAGTTTATAATCTCATATTCCTGCTGAGGTATCCATTGAAGTGGGAATGGTAATTTATTTAAGCATATCTCTGTCAATTTAGCTCTGAACAAAAGGTGCTAGTGTGCTAGACTGGCACACACCACCCAAAGAGGACACTGGATGCCAAGTCAGAATTTGGAAGGAAGCTTCCTAAAATAACAAAACTATACGTTAAGTCCTTGTAGTTTACTTACACAAGATGATACAATTTCCCCAGGGATCTTAGGGAAATGGAAGAAAGAAGTAATTAAATTATTAGAAAAAACATAAGGTATTATATAAGACTATGATGTCCTCTGTTTCTTGTATAGCTATCTGTACATGGTACTACATGTACAAGCTGTACAAGTGGAAGAGGCAAAATGTGGGAGTTCTCAGCTTTGAAAGCTAACTGCTAAATTAAGGAAAAAGAGAAAGAGCGAGAGACGGAGAAGAAAACCTAAATACCTGATCTGCTAAAATTTAAACTGAAAATATATTCCTTAGAAAAAATGGATATGCCAGAATTCAAGCAGGTAACAATATGCTACTTTTTATCCTGGTCTATTTTAGAAAAATCTGCTCCTCGGTAAATGAATAAAATGTTTATATTTCAAGTATATTTTTAATAGATAACATTTCAAGTCCATACAACATTTGTTTTAATAGAATTTGATATTTTAAAAATAAGAAAAGAACATTTTTCACTTTACAGAAAGATTCACAACCAGGTTTCATTATGTACTAAGACCCTTTGGGAATTCTAATATGATTACACTTATCGAAAGTTAATGCAGGGCTTCCCTGGTGGCGCAGTGGTTGAGAGTCCGCCTGCCGATGCAGGGGACACGGGTTCGTGCCCTGGTCCGGGAAGATCCCACATGCCGCGGAGCGGCTGCGCCCGTGAGCCATGGCCGCTGAGCCTGCGCGTCCGGAGGCTGTGCTCCGCAACGGGAGAGGCCACAACAGTGAGAGGCCCGCGTACCACACAAAAAAACCAAAAACACCCACAACTCTTTTTCCTACTGCCAACCAAAGAAATACCAAAGGACAGACATTTACTTAATTAGGTAATGTGATGCCATCAGCCAATCCAGTGAACTGGACATTTCGAACTTCAAAATAAAGGACCTGAAACATCTTACAGCCAATAATATTTACCTGTTGGAACTTTAGATAAAAGTATAGGCAGTGATCCTTCTTTTTTAAAAAAATTGAACTTTTCTGTTCACTGTGGAATATAAAGAGCATTAGGGCAGTTATGCAGCCTAGATGGAATAAATATAGATCTACTAGCCAACCAATAGGAGGGAAAGAGGTCAACTTATATTAATTAATCTCAGACCTTAGATCTGCCCATGTTTCCACAGCTACAAACTGTGGAGAGAGACAGAAGTCCAAGTCTATCCTAGTCTGAAGCTGAGCTCTCTCAACACAGCCACACTTCCTCCCCATTTTCTTCTAGCAGTTTTCATCTGAATCATGAACATAAGTAAATGTGCTTTACGGCTAAATCCTGGTGGGATTGTTGTTGTGTTGTCTTTTTGTTGTGTTTTGTTTTTGTTTTATCGGAGTATAATTGCTTTACAATGTTGTGTTAGTTCCTGCTATACAATGAGGTGAATCAGCTGTATGTATACCTATATCCCCTCCCTCTTGGACCTCCCTCCCACCCCCCATCCAACCCATCTAGGTCATCACAGAGCACCAAGTTGAGCTTCTTGTGCTTTATAGCATGTTCCCACTAGCTATCTATTTTACGCATGATAGTATATATATGTCAATCCTAATCTCCCAATTCGTCCCACCCTCCCCTTCCCCCCCACCCCGTGTCCACATGTCCGTCCTCTACGTCTACATCTCTATTCCTGCCCTGCAAATAGGTTCATCTGTACCATTTTTCTAGATTCCACATATATGCATTAACATACATTTGTTTTTCTCTTTCTGGCTTACTTCACTGTCTATGACACACTCTAGGTCCATCCACATCTCTACAAATGACCCAATTTCATTCCTTTTTATGGCTGAGTAATATTGCATTGAATATATGTACCACATCTTCTTTATCCATTCAGCAGTCGATGGAATTTAGGTCGTTTCCATGTCCTGGCTATTGTAAATAGTGCTGCAATGAACATTGGGGTTTGTTGTTTTGTTTTGAGGGAGGTGCTAATGTAATTAGCTTCCACCATGCTCATTTCTGTTTCTCCTGATCATGAAATATGCTATATTTTTTATTAAAATACAAAGAAAGGGGGAAAGGAAAGACCATCAGAGAAGCTGAAAGAAATTTAAGCAAACATGAAGAAAGAAGTGAAGGATAAAGGGAAGCTTGGTGTAGAAGAGATAAGCCATGAATGAGGGGAAAAGAAGAGGAGATAAAATGGAAAGATCTAGAAGATGAAAGTACAAGAAGAGTTAGGGACTTCCTCCCAGTGGTGGCAGACTGGGTGATTTGGACCAACTCTCTTGCTGGAGGAAACTAAAATATCTTGGCAAAATATAAAAATCATGATCTTTAAAGTATCAAAAAGCTAAAAAGAGAGTGTGGAATTACCAAGCCAAAATCTACAAGAAAACAGAAATCCAAAGGTATGAGTCTGGCATTTTGCTGAAAGCATGTTGTCCAATCTAAGAGAGGCAGTAGTTTTGGCGTCTTCACAGGGACAAAATGTGCAGTAAGTACTTCTGATAGGGAAATTTATAAAGCTTCATTGAGAGACAGTAGGGGAGACCTAAATAAATGGAGACGTATATCATGTTCACGGATTGAAAGACACAATATTGTATCAATGCCCCAAGACACAAATAAACCTATGTAACAGAATAGAGACTAGACATGGGCTCATTCATAAATGACATTTGGTATACTATAGATGTGGCACTCATGGGAGTGGGAAAATGATGGCTGACACAATTTCATATCCATATGAGGAAAATGAAGCTTGACTTCCAACCTCATACTCCATCATTACCTACACGCTACACACACACATTAGAAAATTTCTTGCATTTGTACATTTGGACGCATGACATAAGAATGTTCATAGAAATACTGTGTGTAAGAGTACAACTTTAAAAAATCAAAACAACACAAGTCCATAAAGAGTAGAATGAAGAAATAAAATGTGGAATGTTTAGCCAGTGAAATACTATAGTGCCATGAAAATGAATGTTACAACATGCATTAATCTTAAACATAATGTTAAAAAATTTGGTTACGGAAAAACAAAAATATGATTCTGCTTATACAAGATAAAAAATGTGCAAAACTAAAAATATACTGTTCAAAGATGTAAACATATATCATAAAACTATAGAAAAGTAAGGAACTGATAAATGCAAAATTCAGAAGAGTGGATACCTCTGGAGAAGAAGGATGGGGTGCGGAAAGGCACTGACAATAATAGCATGTTGTTCTTTTTCTTAAATCAGGTGGTAGGTGCTAGATAGTCCTTGTATTCTGATTACTCTTTCGTATGCATTCACAAGTTAATAGAAATATAACAAATATACACATTGGCCCAATACCAAAGGGCCAAGTTTGAACTCAATATTCAGATGAGACCAAAACCAAAACTGGGATCACCATCACAGAATGAACTTCTTGAGACAAGAATACATCTGAAAATTTTTCCACAAAATAAATTCAATCATCCCTTCAATTTATTGCTTAAAACATTACTTCTCAAATGTTTGACGCTGGCATTATAGTGCAGAAACAATCATTTCCTAGCTCTGTTGACTTCCAGATTGCTCCTATGTGTGGTCAACGTACCACACGCTGACAATATCAAATAGGTTAGCAAAAGGGGAAGATATTTTTTACCGACTCGAGTCAGAATAGGCCACTGCCGGTAGTAATGTTGCCCTCCCACTCTAGGAGCAACTGGATTCAAGTCATCTTGTCTCCTCTGCCCCTTCTGGACTTAAAGCTTTGGGCAATAGTAATTATGCAATCTCCTTGAAGCCACCTCACAAACAGAATCTCTGTGCATTGCTTGAAGAAGATGCTTTCTGAACATTGTCAGAAGCAAAGGAATTTTTTTGCTCTCACTTATAGTTTTTTATTTTTAATATTATGCATGAACGTACTACTTTAATTTGCCCTTAAACCTTGGATCTAAAAATGTGGCAAGAGAGCACCATAACTGACTTTCAAGATAACAAAATAGTCTCTGAAATTC